GTTTCCAATACAACTTACTGACAACATTTACTGTAATTACTGTTTTGACTGTAGTGTGCAGACTTGACTTATTCTTTTATATTTCAAAGCACTGAAGCACTTTCCTTATATGTTTTGGGGGATTTTGGCAGTTGTGACATTATTATTTATCAAGTTTTGCAGTTTAATCTCACCATTACAATCTCCTGAAGTCCTGCATGCGTTCTTGGTCTGGTCACTCCCAATCCTTGTACCAGTGTCTTGACACCAGTGACGCTGGACGGGTTTTGGGGGGGCTGTGCTAAAGACTGTTCATCATTCCTATTGCCTGTGTTTTCATAACTAGTATAATTCTCATTTTGATGTTGTTTTTTCATTAGAATTCCGTCATCGTGATAAGTACCTTCCTAAATAAAATAGACGCCAATCTTGGCGCAAACATTTTTCTGTCATGATCTTTGTATTGTTGTATGCTTACTTGGTCAAGTGGGAGCAACACACATATCACAAATAAATAGCACAAATCTTCACATATACAGACAATGTTCAATCCAAGGCGTTGTGTGGCACTCTGAGAAAACTGCTCAGAAATAGTGGTTGTGTCTCTTGCCCTCAGAAGATAATATATGTGGGAGATATAACTATACTGTATCATAATGACTTGTTTCACGGGGTATGAAAGATTTGGTGTAACGTCAACCCTAACCCAGTTAGAGAAAGTTCTCCACTGCCTGTCCAGTGGCACAGAGAGATTATCCATGATGAATAAAAGTATGTTTGTTGACCTTTCCACCACAGCTTCAAATGTGTATATTCATTTGATATCAAAAAACATTTAAAAAAAAGATTTACAATTTAAAAAAAGGAAAAATCTGTCTAAGGATGTGGAAAGACTGAAGTGTTTCCTAAGAAATAAATGATATTTATATGACATTAAGAATCACAACAACAACAAATAAAAGACTCATCAAACCAAAATATTTTTATTCTGTGGGGATGATCACATTTGATCAAAGGTAGCTCCATAAGCAAACACGTCACCACATTCTGATGCAAATGCTCTTCAGATTAACTCGTGTATGATAGTGCATGACATCACATTTTTCCAGCAATATCATGTCACATCTGGAGAGGATCTTTACTGTTTTGTGTCCTAAATTGTATTATGTTCAGAAGATTAGATGATGAATATCATGAATCTAGAATTAGAGTCAGGTCAGACTACAATCCCACACCTTTTCCCAAATTTAGTGTGCATCCTAAACGTTTCAAGCACTTGTGTTTACTTTTGTCACAGAAGAGTTATGAGAAAGCCAAACTCTTATTTTTCTGTTGCCAATTTTGGTACTGCAGTGTAGCAGTGTGTGGATCCATAAAACCTCAAGGCAAAATCTTTGCAGCTTTGCTGCAGCTCACACCAGAAAAGTCAAATACAGACATCTAGTGAAGTCATGTACAAATAGCATGTGAAGAACCGCACTAGTGCAAGCTAAATTCAAAAAACTGTGTGAATAGTATTGTGGAGATCGAAATGTACACTGAGATTAAAAATGAGTGCAGTCCATACTGTGAGTAACCTACTGAAGTAGAGTTATATTAAAAGATGTGAGCCCATGGCATATTACCTTACAATCCCCATAGTAATCTCTTTAGCTTATATAGAACATCGTCATGGCTGGTATGGCAAATAGATTTAACGAACTCTTTTGTAATATTACTCACCATAAACTGCCAAAAAAGCATTCTGTTCACCTGGATTAGCGTTTTCAGTGGGAGAAATGTTTCTTCGCTCATCAAAGAGACTTCTTCAGTCTCAGCTGACTGCAGGTTCATAAAGTACCTACTTCAAAACCATGTTCTTATACACACAGACACTCACACTTGCTTCATTGAACATATACTCATACACTCCTGTACCACATGAGACCACCTCAACATACAGACTGGAGCAGGAAGCAAATCAGAAACCTTCCAATAAGTGGAAGACATCGACTTCCTCATTCTGCAGCAAGAAAACAGAAACATACAGATTGAACTCAAAAAATAGCTTTTACAAGCAGTCACAGATACATAGACTGATTTAGACAAATTTGAGTAATAAAAAGAGGGAGGAAAATGTCATGTCAGGAGACAGTTACTGGTGTATCTGGTGGAGAGGAGAATGAAATTGGTGGTGAGTGTGGGAAAATCAAACACTAATATCAACATCTTCTCTTGTGGACTCATAAGCAGGACTAGTAGTCCTGGAGCAGCTGGTGACAGTCTAGAAAGGCTCTGTACAACAATGGTGCTCAAGCAGTGTTGTCTGCAACAAGTGATAGAAAGAAACAGAGGAAAACTGACAGTGACAGCAACAGTATGGACAGAGGAAGGAAGAGGAGGAAGAATGGTGTTGAGTGTTGAATCAGAAAGCAAAGGAAGAGGAGTGGTACACAGCTAACTTACTGTGGTGGTGAGATCTGAGAAAGAGGGGTATGTGAAAAGATGGACCCAACAAAATTAACTGGAATTATCAGAGGACAATTGGGAGACGTAAAAATGCACATTCTGAGTTATGGAAATTTACTAATAGGCAGTAAATCTGAAATGGGGGTAAAGAAGGTTAAAAAATGTCAAAAGAGAGTAACTGGTGGAAAATCTACAAGTGAGAAACAAGTGAAGTAAATGAAGAAAATGCTTGGGAGAACATATAAAAAAAAGGGACTGCAGCTATGCTTTGAGGAGCAGGAACTATCATTTTGATATGACAAAACTGCTTATATGTACAGAGAATTTGCACCAAAGCCCATTAAATGTTTTAGCTCTTAAGAATTCAGACAGCTGTATGTAAAAGGAATCACAGGTGAGCTCATTGTGGAGGGGACAATAGAAGTGGCAAGTGTGCAGCAGGAGTTCCTCCAGAATCCTGCAGCCACAGAGGAAGCATTGTGGGGTTGCAAAGCAGTGAAAAGAGAGACAAAAGTACAGAAAATTAGAATTAAATTTACAAAAAAATTAAATAAAACTAGTGATAAATGCAACATATTGAATAAAACTGAAAGAATATAAATAATAGTGAACGCTGCGGACCACCACTTCAGGATGACAGATTTAAAATGGGAGGAAATAAATGACAAACTTAAGATTCAGTCAAGCCGAGAAGCAATATGTATCAGATACTGTAATACTATTAACTACGCTCATTCTCCAATGGAATGCCAGAAGTTTCAATGCTAAGAGCCAGAAATTCAAGCAATTTTTTTGAGATATGAAAGAAAAGTCCAAGATAATCCATATCCAGGCATCCTGGGTTAAATCTAATTCGGAATTCGTTCTATTTAACTATGCAACAGTTTACAGGGACAGAGAAGAAGGAGAAGGAGGAGGCTGTGCCACGCTTCTTAAGCAAGGCATCCCATATACAATACTCATATAGAATAGGGGAGTGCAAATGAGCAAGAATATGTTGTTAGAAATTGGGCTGAAAGACTATGTGATAATAAATTATTATAAGCCATGTGGACGGCTGTAGCTCAGGTGGTGGTGAGTATCCTTGGGCAAGATACTAACCCTAACATGTTGATCATCTCCAAATGTGTGTGGATGTTAATTAGGAAGCATTTAGAAACAGTAGAAAAAACTGCTGTTGTGAATGGGTGAATTGTCTAAAGCCCTTTGCGTGCTTAAGATAAAGTAGAAAAGCACTTTATAAGTACCAGTCCATTTACCAAAATGTTGAAAAAAAAAATAATCCAGAGAAACAACAAAAACATGTCATGATGGGGTTTACGTTCATATTTTACATTAAAAATGGTTAACCCACCTTGTCTATGGTCACTTTGCAGCACAGCTGTGTGACTCTATGGTTTTCATTTTGGAACACTGCATTAACACCCAATAATCCACCACAATGAATATGAGGAAGAGAGGAGAAGATTAGTGACTTTATTTAAGAACAGCAAACAAAGCATTAAACTGTGGAATCTGTTAGTACACGGAAAGTAGGCAATCTTTAATTTGATTATGTTTGAACAACGGGATTAATGGTGGTGGCAGTAATGCACCTGTAAGTTGGGTGTGCCTACCGCATTTAAACTAGTAGTAGTTGAAGAAGAAGTGGAATCAAAAGGATCAGTGATGATTTATCAGTGTACACAGGTGAAATGGTTTCAATATTGTTAGCAGTCCACTGAATTGAAGAAACAAAACCACTAAGATCTGTGATATGTTCAGACTCGAACTCTTCACTGGCCAGTCTGCAAGACAGTCACTCAGAATGCAGACCTGGCATTCTGATAGAGATCCAGCAAACATTGTTCAGAATTGTTATGATGGGGCTTATGGTCACATTCTTATGGGTACCAGCGCATCATGGAGATAAAGGAAATGAAATGGCAGATAGGACAGCAAAAGTCGCAACAAGGAGACCGATAGTAGATATGGTTATTAGTGTGAGTAGGACGGAGCTCAAGAGTAGAATACGATACAAAATGATCGAAAGGTTGGCAGAAGCAATGGGAGGAAGAGAGGAAAGGGCGATGGTTTTATAAAATCCAAAGGAAGGTGGGGGAAATGAGAAGTACAGGCCGAAACAGGAGAGAGGAGACGATTATATCTCGACTGAGATTTGGACACACTGGTTTAAATACCACATTGTTTTTAATAGGTAAACACTGTACAGGGGAGTGTGACTGCAGTAGGGAACAGGAAACAATAGAACATGTTTTCTTGAATTGTCAGAGGTATGATATTGAATGCAGACAACTGATCAAAAAGCTGGACGATATGGAAGTGCAGTTGGACTTGATTGTTTTGTTTCGCACGACCTCTGTAAGTGAAAGTTATCGGGCTGCATTTTGGTTTTTAAGGCAGGCCCATTTGTTCGAGAGGCTTTGAAAATTATTTTTTTTTTAACTTTTCATTTTTTTGTCATTTCGGTCCACACTCCACACCAGTTGGTGGCGGTAATGCGCTATTTTGCTGTTTGCCAACCGCCAGTAAACCCTATACAGAAGAAGAAGAAGAAGACGTGGAAGCGGCAGAAGAAGACGATTACCACGGAGTTCAATGTAGCTGCGCAAGAAAACGGCAAAAACACTCTAAACCTCAATTCGGGTCTACTTCGACACGTCGAGACACACCTCGAGGTACAAAGTTTTTATTGTATATATAAGTTTGTCTCAGTCTAGCATGTATTTACCTTTCGTAAAAGTTAGTGAAATATTCTTTGAACTCGAGTCATCAATACCGCGGAAAAGTTCTGTCCCTGGTCGGTCGGGCGATTACTGTTCTTAATTCACGTATTCTTTGATTAAAATGAATTGAGCTAAAGTTTTTAAACGATATTAAAGAGTACCTTGGCAGAGGTATCTCATAGATGAGGGTCGTCGTAAATTTAGTTTTTTTGGAGGGGGGTTATAAAAAGTGTGTAAGGCGGTGTTTTGTTAGGTGGTGTAAGGAATGAATGGAATGGAACTATTAGAATCACTTGTTTGTTTCTGTTTCTCTTTCAAGCTGTTTCGAACCTGTTAACAACAACAGAGAGTTCGCAAAAGAATCGATTGGGCGGAACGTAGAGAACGTATACACAATCGAACGTCACTTGAATATTATCTACAAAAAAAATTCTTTAATTGAAACATGTAAATAAGCAGTCAATTCTATAGCTCCATGGGGTTTTTCCATGTCATTTTTGTCTCTTATGTTGAGCAAATTTGTTCCTTAGGGAAAAAAACAAAAAAAAACTGAGTTACTAGCATAAGAAAGTACATGAGTATACATATTATAAGGAACAGCTCTTTATACTACCATCAAATAAGGAAAAGCACTGGGGGATAACTTCGCAATACGTCAGAATCAGAGAAACGTTACTAATTCCAGAGAGAATTTGTGCAGCACACATACATACAGTGCAGTGAAGTATGTTTAGTCTGGTTCAGTTTGTGTTGGTCTAACCCAAGTTGATGAACTAAACACTCTCATAGCACCAGAAATTAAAATAAAGCAAAAAAAACATGCATAACGACAGTCGATTGTAAGTGCTAGTTTCAATCATTGGATCATGAAGTCAGTTCCATGATAACTAGACGAAAATCAGCCACAATAAACAATTTGCTGATCAACTCTGTGGATAGATCAAGTTCACCAGGGAGGATATGAAAAATGGCAGACTGGCTTTGTTGGTCTGCAAAATTTTCCTCAGTAATGGAGGACATTTGAAAGTCACTGTGTATTTTAAACATATGGATTAGTATTTAAGGTTTGTTTTAGTTATATTATTAGTTGTATTATTATTACATTTTTGCATCTTGGAGCAAAGGAAAGGAGATTTAAAGATTAAAATATCAGAATTTCCTAATGCAGGACATTATCCAGTCATTTGATTTAAACTGCTGGACTGTCTTAAAGACATAAAGACCTGGATGGCCTCTAACTTTCTGCTTCTTAATTCAGATAAAACTGAGGTTGTTGTACTCTGCCCTGAAAATCTTAGAAATATGGTATCTAACCAGATTCTTACTCTGGATGGCATTACCTTGGCCTCCAGTAACACTGTGAGGAACCTTGGAGTCATTTTTGACCAGGACATGTCCTTCAATGCACATATTAAACAAATATGTAAGACTGCTTTCTTCCATTTGCACAACATCTCTAAAATGAGAAATATCCTGTCTCAGAGTGATGCTGAAAAACTAGTTCATGCATTTATTACTTCCAGGCTGCACTAATGTAATTCATTATTATCAGGATGTCCTAAAAACTCCCTTCAGTTAATCCAAAATGCTGCAGCAAGAGTCCTGACAGGGACTAGAAAGGGAGAGCAGATTTTACCTGTATTGGCTTCCCTTCATTGGCTCCCTGTTAAATCCAGAATTCAAAATCCTGCTCCTCACATACAAGGTCGTAAATAATCAGGCCCCATCTTAGAAACCCAAATCAGAAAAAGTTGGGACAGTATGGAAAATGCAAAAAAAGAAAGAAAGAAAGGAGTGATTTCTAAATTTGACTTATATGTCATTGCAGACAATATGAACACAAAATATTTAATGTTTTGTCTGGTCAACTTTATTTCATTTGTAAATAGACATCCTTTGCTGTCATTCAGACCTGCAACATATTCCGTAAAAGGTTGGGATAGGAGCAATGTAGTGCTAGCAATCAGGTGAATTTGTTAAATAATGACGTGATTTGAAACACGTGATGTCAACAGGTGATTGTAATTATGATTTGGTACAAAAAATTAAAAATTGTCTTTACATATTTCAATAATTTTCAAAAAAATTAATGTTCCTCAAATAAAGATAGAAAGAGATTTGGATAGTTTAACTTCAACAGTGCATAAGATAATTAAAAGATTGAAATTCCATCAATGTATTATTGTAGGGTCTACCTTAGAATATAAAGTGCCTTGAGGTAGGGCTGGGCGATATGGCCTAAAATCCATATCACGGTATAATTTGAAGCATGTGCGGTAACGATATATATATCGCGATATATTATTTTCTTTTGTATAACGTATTCTACACACTAAGGCACACTTAAAATCCTTTAATTCTCTCAAAAATCGACAGTGTGCCTGGTTCTGGGTGTGCTTACTGACCTCAAACAGATTTTATGTGGTACACGGCTCTCAAAAATCTGTCAAAAATGTTTGTCGGAGCATTACGGTTACCGTAGTCAGGAGCCTCGCGGAGTAATCTGGGTCCAAAACTCCATCTGCTTTCAGGTCCCAAAGTCAAACGAACACTGCAGCATCACTGAGAGTTAAAAACTGTCTAAATTCTTTCATCTTTAATAAAATGATCAGCGTTGCTGCTTTACCAGGTGCAACAATTAAGTTTAACATCCAGGCATCCATGAAAACAGAATTTATTCAATTCAACGGAGTTAGAAGTTAGCTAGCTAGTTTCCACCTAAACATGATGTGCCATGTTCTGACTGAGAGATATCTGAAAAAATTAAAACGTACAGCTCTGCTATCACTTCCAACATAAATGAAGACAGAAAACTAAACAGCAGTGACGTTTGTAGGGTTACTGAAGTTGGACTAGCTGGTATATAGTGATGTCCTAAGTCACAGGTGTCGAACTCCAGGCCTCGAGGGCCGGTGTCCTGCATGTTTTAAATGTGTCCTTGATCCAACACAGCTGATTTAAATGGCTAAATTATCACCAACATGTCTTGAAGTTCTCCAGAAGCCTGTTAATGAACTAATAATTTGATTCAGGTGTGTTGAAACAGGGTGATATCTAAAACCTGCGGGACACCGGCCCTCGAGGCCTGGAGTTCGACACCCCTGTCCTAAGTGATTGCTAGCAAAACAGCTACATTGGCATAACATTAGCACAGTGAAGCTGAAGGATGAACGCTAACTTTTTTCCACTCAATAAAAGATAACGTGAGGGTTTCTGGTGGTTAGGGACAAATGCAATTGCATAACAGGATGCTATAAACGGACTAAACTTCAGTCAGGAAAACTACTGAGATAATCCATCCACAATACGAGGTTGGTCATTAATATACTGCAACAACATGGGAATAGAGCGGCTGCGAGAGAATTCGGCATTAGTGAATCAATGATAGGGAAGTGGAGGAAGCACAGTTTTTGGCTTTCCTCATATTCCAAAAGTGCTTCGTCTTTTTGCTATTACTGTTGCCCAGCATAATTTGCAGATGATGTTGTTTGCAGCTGCTGCAATGCTTTCGACCAAAACAGGTGCAGCTTGATGATGACACCATCAACATGTGCTATTGCGGTAGAGCGGTATAGTAAAAATCTCTACCGTTGGTCAAATTTATATCGTTTCTATCATTTACCGTTTATACCGCCCACCCCTACCTTGAGGCGACTGTTGTGATTTGGTGCTGTATAAATGCAGTTGAATTGAACTATTTCACACAGGGCCATGTAGGTTTGGATTTTTTTTCCCCTTAACCCTTTAGAGCCGGTCGGAGCGGGCACGCTTTGTTTTGTGTAACTATTTTTAAATCCCGGTAGCTCTGCAACCACGTAAGCTAGCGCAATAATTTTTTTTGCATATGAAACTGGAGGAGTTGTACTTACATCTTATGCCATCAGCTTGTCCTAGGTCACGGTTTCCTTCCACATAAAGCTTTGCAAAAACTGCATAAAAAGCACTTGCAGCAACAAAAACATAATATTACGGAAACACGCTTTGCCGATCCGTCAGCGCGAACTTTTGAATGTCCGCCATTACCTGCCCGAAACCGGAAGTGATGTCATTTTCGCGGAAATGTAGTTTTTTTTTTTTTTTTTTTTTACCATCAGGGCCTCAGGGTCTATACTGGTGTTTTTAAAAGTTATCTTTGACTTTATGACTTTCTGTGTCGTTTCTGGGATGCTTAGGACTCATATTGCACTGCTGGAAATAGTTTATTTTGATGCATATGCTGCTTTTTTGCAAATTTGTAGTATAATATTTATTTTCGTTTTTCCTGCAGTATATAAAAATTGGTGTATTCAAAAATAAAACTATGAAGACACTCAAAATAAATTTCCTGTGGTAGGAAACTATTTTGTGCAACTTTTTTGTATTTACAGTTTTGAGGGATAAGCCTCTTAAATTTCTCTAACTAGAAATATATGTTAAAAAAACAAAAACGATTTTCAATTTTTTTGTAGTTTATTGCACGGTTTTGCAATTTATGTAATTACTATGCACTTAATGAATACATATTATTAAAATCTGGGCTATAATTGCTGTATTGATGTATAGCAACTTGAAATGCTCCCAAAAATGGCACCACACCATGTAAAAATATACTATAAGCTCTGGCGGACTTGGTTCTATGGTAGGTCTTAAAGGGTTAATAATAAACACCTTCATTTAGAAACTGCATTTTATGTTTACTTGTATCATCTTTTTCTAATATTTAAATTTGTTTGATGAAACATTTAAGTGTGACAAACATGCATAAAAAGAGGAAATTAGGGGATCAAACACTTTTTCACTCTATTGTAGCTTATTTTTTGAGGATTTTATAACATGACTTAAGTTTTTTTTTTTTCTTCTGTAAACTGCAGTGATGTCAGACTCTGAAGGACGCCGCTCATCTGTGTCCTCCATCTCTTTGATTGAGATTAAGAGTGAGACTCATTTAGTGCTCCAAGCTTTTCTACATCGCTCCCTTTTAATTCCTCTGAAAGAGAGGCCTGGGAGGGTAGGAGGGGCCTACAACGATCACCACAAGTACAGGTAATATAACTCACTACTATTCTATTTTTTGCTTGTTTGTCTTTGTGTTTGTATCTTTTTTAAAAAAATTGTAGCTCAAGACACAACATTCTGGATAATAACTCACTGACCTGTGCCGTTTGTGACCTTTACCAGTGAGTAGCAATGATTAAAGGGTAGATAGTTTTAGGACTTACTACATTTTAATCAATCTAAAGGTTTAAGTAAGTAATTATTTTAAATATAGTAATTGAATATTTGCAATATTATTTATGTGACCATTTATTTTTAATGAATTGTCTTGTTTTCCCATGCTAGTTCCAACCCAAAACCAAAAACAAAGGATGAGCGGAATCCTCAGGTTGTCACTTCAGGAGATGAAAAAAAGACTGGATTCAAAGACCTCATAAAGCAACTGCCACATCGTAACAGCACACAACGTCCTGCCAAAGACCCTGAAGGCTCATTGGGCAGGAAGAGCAAAGCAAAACCTGCACACCTCAAAGACAAAAGCGAAGTAAGTGTGTTGTATTGTTTTGAGCTGGAACACATGAAAGACCATGAGTGATGTTGGACACAAACCTGTAGTGTAGTGTCTACATGGTATTGTTATACATTAGTACTATGATACATTAAGACCATGGAGGCTAGAAAAGAGTACTAAATGGGGAAAAATTTATAATTTTCACTTCAGTGTCTGAGACTGGTTCTTTTTTTTTTTTTTTTTTCCTTTTTTCTCATCATAATTATCAGTACTTAACTAAAATTTAATAGTTTAAATACTTCAACTGTTTCCACAGGATGACACCTCCTGTACATCAGAAGAGGATGAAAGTGAAAAGAAACTAAAGAAAAAGCTCAGCCAAAAAAACATCAAACAGAAGCTCTCCAAGATCTTCAGTTTAAGGTTACAGAAGGATAAGGACAAACAGGAGCGTCCGTCTCATCCGCAGCGACCTGACACATTACCAATTAACAAAAAACCGGAGCCTACACCAAATGTCATCTCTCCCAGTAAGCTCTCTGACTGTTACATTTTCCAAAAGAAGAAATATCAGTCGTATTTAATCACCTGGACACACAAAATTCGCTCGTCTTGTGTACATTTGTAATATTAAAGATGTATAAAAATTGCATAAATGTATTCATCTAAATGTAATTTTCACCTGTTGTGTGGTGAACTATTCATGCCGATTGATGTCAGCAATACTTCCTGACCATTTAATTTAGTAGGGCAAGGAATTTTTTTCCATTACAGCACCTTTTCATCTGACTTTTACTCAGGAACCTCTTCTCACTTTTTGCTAAAGAATTTTATTTGATGATCTTGTTGACAAAGATAATCTACATAAGGTTCTTGCACTCAAAGAAGGTAACTTCTATGGTACAACTTTTATTTTGATATTAATATTTAAGATCATGGGGGACTTAAATGGCAACTAAAAATGGATGAGATTGACTTTTTTTTTTTTTTAGTTGAATGAACTGAGTGAGGTGGGAGAGATAAGATTTAAATTATTTTGAAGGGTATCTCAGTGAGTCGAATAGAAGCTAGCCTGAGAAGGAGAATGCTGCAATGAGCTATAGTGCCAAAGGCAGCACTCACACTGAGGAGGAAGACAGTGGTTAATAAACCAGAGTCAGCCATTGCTTTCTTGGAAGATACTAGTGAACATAGTTCTCCTGCAATAACTCAAATTAAACACTTGACTGCATTTGAGTGGCAAAAGTCTTTTTATTGTTCATGGATATTTCATATACATTTGTCCATACAGATCACCCTCCTGAGTTCTACAGTAATGTGGCAGAGAAGCTGGAAAAGATTGCCCAGAAGTCTACCAGTATAAAGAGAAATAGTCCCAAAACACAGCCACCAACAGGTAATTGCATGCACAGCCACGCATATACATTAATTCACTTTAAAATGGTATATTGACCCAAACTAGAATTCACAGAACGGTAAAGTAACTAATAAATGTAAGTAAAATGTATTTATAAAGCAGATTTACCGTGTTTTCACACTTACAAGGTCCTATAGGGTAGCAACTAACCACAAAATGAACATAAATTTTTCATGTTCTTCAATAGTGCAGAGCACCTTCTTTGTGTTTTACTTTGCTACCACCCCAGATGCATCAAAACGTTAAAAATGACAACAACCACCAGAGGACAGGAGGGGATGCATGAGTTAGACATGCAGCAAATGAGACATTAGTTTGTTAGCAAGGGAATATTAACAGGGACAAAGGTGGGTTTTGAGTCTAGACTCAGAAGCAAAGATGTGGGTCTCCTCCTCCTCCTCCTCTCTCCCCCTCCCCCCCCCATTTCAGGTGATAAGATCATTCAATACACATGGAGCAGTGACCACAAAGGCCGCATCACCTTTTTGTTTGAGGCATCAACTTGTATGTAAAGATCTGTAAAGAGCTTTGATTCTACAAAAGATCTGAGACGTATAGGAGCTAAATCAGTGATATAAGCTGACCCCTGCCCATTAAGAGTCTTAAAAATAATGAGTAAGCTCTTAAATGAATTCTAATGTGGCAAGGACAAGACTGTAATGATGTGCCAGTCAGCAGTCTTGCTGAAAGGACAAAAGATTTCAAAGAGGTGATGACGCTTAGCTGGTTTTTGACAACGGAGCAAATTTGTTTGTCAGAGTAAAGCTCTGAGTCACAAAGTTATATTTTGCAAGAGATGTAAAATATAGGATACAATAATCTAACACGCTGGCAAAGGAGCTTGTATGGAGATTTGGATGGACAAAAGATGATGAAAATCTGTTTCGTTCTTGTTCAACTGGACGAAATTGCTATTCTTCCAGCCTTTTAATATATATTTTAGTGGAAGATATAACTCAAAGTCATCAGTGTACAAATGAAAGGAGATGTTATCTTCTAATAATATTACCAAGTGGAAGCAGATCCAAACAGAAGAAGATTGATCCTGAGATGAACAGTTACTGAAAAACTCTTCTTCTTAAGCTCTACATTGGCTCATTGATAAGAGCCAATGTAGAGCTGCACCCTTAATGCCAAGCCAGTCTGCAAGGGGTGGCAAAAAATTTTTTATCCACAGAATAAAATGCATCACTGAGGTCCTGCAGACTCGGGGCTGCAATATCACTTTAATCTAATGTGACTGGTAAACTACTGGTCACTGTCAGCAAAACTGTTTCTGTACTATGAAAGGCTTTGATGCCCATCTAAAATGCTCCAGAAAGGCAGCACTTGTGACATGGTAGTTTAGAGCAAGGATAATGGTTTTTGGTCAGTTTGCATCCAAGTTTTGTTTGTTTAAGTATTTTTATTTTATTTATTTATTTGACCTGGACTACAGCATGCTTAAAATATGCAGCAATATTTTCCAAGGTTAGGCGTATTGTTAGGTATTAATTATAACTTGGAAACTAGGACTGAGTGTATCAAATTAGTTACCTATGCTGTAACACAGGAAACATCATAGAAGGGGCTCATGTGAAATGTTACATGAAAAAGTATTTGCCTCTTGCCTGATTTTGTTTTTTTGCATATGATTGTGTCCAAAAAATAAATATAAAATATAGTCATTTATTTATTATTTCCTTTATGGGGAAAAAAGCTGCCCAAATCTCCTTGGCACTATTTGAAACCTCCCCCCCCTTGTCAACTCATGAATTAACTGTGATTAACCACGTTTTTGGAAATGGTGAGTTTAATTTCACTAGCCACACCCAGAACTTACTCATCACTGCCAGACCTGAAATAGAACCTGATAAGATAAAACCAGCACATCATTCCACAATAAAAAGAAACTCAAGAACAAATGACTTGAACTTGGTTCAGGTCACTAACATCAGAATAGGTATATCTATAATCCAGTTTTGAGTTCCCTCCCAGACGCCTTAACGCCCACTCACATCCTGGGCCATCTGACCTCAGGAAATCGCATGATAAGGTGGGGCTAGGTTTCACAATGAGCTCACCTGAAAACCCTGGCTGATTGGGACCCACACCCGTTTTCACACCTTCGCTCAGGCGATTAGAGGATCATCAGGGGGTCCTTTTGTCCCTCTTTGAGGGGATACTCCCACTGGGTTTAAATCTGGGACTCTCCGCCATTTAACCTTAGAACTGAAGAAGCTTCTCGGATGAGAGGTGAAACGTCTTCAAGCAACTTAAAGAAGTCCAGATGCTTTTCTTTGCAAGCTCCTTTGACTACGGTGACCTGGATGACTGAGAACCTTCACAGACATCAGAATAGGTTACAAAGCCATTTCTAAGGCTTTGGGACTCTGGACTGTCTCTCAGCTAAAGAAACCTTACTGAATTGGTTGAAGGTGACTGATAACACCGGAAAAACACTTGAGCAACTGGTGATTGATTAAAAAAAATTGATAGATCAGAAATACATGCAGTACATTATGTGAAGTTAGAAAAACTGATCAAGAACTATAATATCTTCATCTTCAGTAAAGCTGATGTTTCTTTCTCAGCAGTATGTGATAAAGAAACAATAGTGCAGGAACTTGTCAAGGTGCTCTCTTCGGAAGGAGACTCTATCAATACTGTGGTAAGTAGTGGTTCATTATACTGTCTGTAAAGGTCCTTTATTCATTTGTCAAATGTTTTGGGAATAATAATAATAATTACAATAAATTAATCAATTCAGGTAAACATAAAGCTGAAGACAGTGTAAATTTTCCTCATGTGTTTGCGTGCGCACTCAAAGCAAATGTGCATCATTTAACAGATCCAATCGGACCGTTTTCTTCGCTCCAGTTTGACCCGTCTTTCATATGCATCGTTTTCCAAACTCCTGGATGCTGTGAGCAGCAGTCATGTAGCTGAAACTCTTTCTCAGCAACCAACAGCCAGTCCTACACTGCAACGGATGGCTGTCAGCATGGAAGTATCACGGCGAATAGTGACAGCCACGGGAACTCAGCGGATGCAAGGCTATGCAGAGTGCTACATGGAGAACTTCGCCCCATGGCTGAAAAGCAATGGAGGATGGGTAAGTGATTTCATTTTTGCATTGACTGTGATTATGTTTTTTACAGACGGGCCTCGGCTGTTATGAACTCTAATTTTTCCTCTGTATAATTAATCATACAGACTTTTTCATCTGCAGGAGAATGCAGTAACTTTGGATGCGCATCTAGAATATGACTGAGCAGTTTTGTTTTTTTTGTTTTTTTTCAACTAAACACCAACTGCTGGACCTGACGGGAAAGTGAAGAGGAATAGAGAAACCTTCTCTGCTTTAATATGTGACTTCCTTTTTCTTCCATGGCCTTATGTAAACACTCAGTAATTCTTGAAGCCTTTTGAATTCTGCTGACATTAGAAAGACTCTCCAGGTTTTTGATTTGCACAAGTCATTTGTTGTTACTAATATAGATTATTTTATAAAAAAAAAGGCCTGTCAGTTAAATTGAGAATACCTCTAACATCAGTTTTCTGTTCTGTAGTGACTGGGCAATTTTTGCCTTCTTCCTTTCTGTTCAGTGAATTGGTAAAAACTCCTACTTGTTTCTGTGTCCTTAAGACTGAGTCTAAACACTTTATTTGTATTAAAAAAAACCCTGTAAATACCACCACCCACCCAGTACCCTTTTAAGATTGAATCTCACTGAAAAATCTAATTAACAATCACCCTTATAGTTTAGTTTCACAACTATCCAGTGAGCTAAAGCAGACCAAGATTTTATGTCTTCTTTAGTCAATTTCCAAATATTTACATTTGCATTTTATTCTAAAGTTTGATTTGTTAGTTCCTGCACTGCATGCCTTACTACTGGTATTGTTCTTTCTGTGGATCTAATTTACATGGGATCACAAGATGTGGATTTGTGTATGTTAGCAAAAGCTATATAGAGGGTATAATGTTTAGAGATTAGTGACTGATATTTCTATTGCTATCGTTTGATTGACAGGTCTTTAATCCACAAAAGGTAAACACTAAAGTTTTTGATTTTTTTGTTTTTGCTATTTTTCCAGTTTTTTTAATTGAGTTGGAACAGTCTGTGTTTTTGCATGATCCAAAGTGTTTTTGTGTGTCTATTTTCTATTTGAGTAGGAGCATTTAAACGCCTCCTGTCTGTAAGTTATGAGGAGAGATTCTACATGTTTGAATTGCACTAGGTGTAATAGGGACTGTCCCTTTTTGTTGTTGTTTTTTGTTTGTTTGGTTTGGTTTCACACCAAGATGATCCTGGGTTCAAACCCACCAGGAGGAGCCTTTCTGTGTGGAGCATATTGTCCCTGTGCTCATCTGTTCACTCCAGGCAATCTGGGCTTCCTTAGCCACAGTTGTAAATCTGTCTCTCTATATAACTTGTGTGTGTGTGTGTGTGTGTGTGTGTGTGTGTGTAATATTTTATTATTTTTATTGTAAATAATAACCGTTTCCTGTTGAAAGTGGACAAATTCCTTAAGGATGTAAGTATTAACATGAATGGACATAATGTAATATTCAACCTAAAACCTTAGTAAAGCCACAGTCTTTACACTGTATGTATGTAATTGTGAGTTTACCTTTTATGTTTTTATTGATTTTTTTTTTTTTTTTTTTTTTTTTTTTTTTGCAAAGGCACTTTACATTATTTTGACATGAAACATCCATCTCTGTTCTCTTAAGGTTTTAATAGTTCACTGTTTTTGTTAACTAATTACACCAATTTACAAGCAAAACACTGATATATGCCACACAGGGGATGTAATGTCTAAAGGATAAATTACTGGTTTTATGTGAAGTCCTTTCTGTGTGGAGTTTGCATCTTCTCCTCCTGTTTGCGTGGGTTGTTCTCTCCGGGTACTTCGGCTTCCTCCCACAGTCCAAAGACACGGAGCGACCAAGCGAGAGGGAACAGATGGATGGAGTTGAAACTGAGCTGCACGTCTTACAGGGAATCACCTGAATCAAGTCTTCATGTACTTTATCTTACTTTCTGCTAGTCTCACAAAGCTTACTCAGTTTGTTACTCAAACTTTTGTCAAATAGGACATTTTTTATTTATTTATTTTTACTGTTTTTCATTTTTAGGTGAACTTACTCTAATGTTAAGACATTGGAGTCATGTTGAGTATGTTGAGACTAATGTCTCAACATACTCAAATTCTTGTGCATGTTGTGACCTTTAAGCAGGGTGGATATCAGTGATCCTCACATCTAATAAATTTTACCAGTACTACCCTTGCCTGCATCTGTACTTTAAATTTTGCCCTGTATCAGTTAGAATATATAGGCTATAAAGGAATACCAAGAGTTACATTCTGAGTGACTATGAGGATATTTGAAAATTGTTGCGGTAAAATAAGTGAAGCAGATGTATATCCAGTATGCCTACATTTTACAGGCTAGAAATTTAGAATTAAACGTCAAATAAAAATCTATTTTCCAGGGTCCATGTGTCAAATATATTTTCTGCTACTACCGTGCTGGACTAAATACACAAACTGAACCAGCAGTTTGTGTATTTAGCCCCTTGCAGCAGTTCGTGCTTACAGCCATACCACCCTGAGCACGCCCGATCTCATCTGGGCTTGGAAGCTAAGCAGTGTTGGGCTTGGTTAATACTTGGATGGGAGACTGCCTGGGAATACCAGGTGCTCTAAGCTTACTAATCTAAGATACTAACCTCCACTTGGTCTCCAATGCATCCATTGGAGTATGAGTTAAAGCACTGACAAAGGTTGGTGCTGGTGTGTATGGGTGAATGCGGTGTGTTGTATAGAGCGCTTTGAGTACTTCAAGACAGTAGAAAAGCGCTATATAAGAAGTCCATTAAGAGTGCTCCTCTGTGCTTTTTTTTACATCTTAGATAAATGACATCCAAAGGCTAAAAATATAGTATATACTAAATAAATATTTGTCAAATTGTATCTACAATGAAGGAAATGATAGTCATTACTAGGTTAATTAATATATCCCAGTTAACAGATGTCTTTGTACAGCGCGGTGTGGAAGAACTAAGTAAATCGGTGTTAACAGTAATTGCCATGTAATAATGTAATGACTGAAAATCTGAACCAAAATTAATCAGTGGAATGTTCCAGGCTGGATTATGGATTTTAGAAATTCAGTTCATGAGTTTGATAGGCGTCACGTGACATCTGTTGAACAGCTTTTCTGCAGTTAGTCCAAGTGTTTCTCGACCGAAAGAATTTGACAATACATGAGCATGGAGAACACCAGGGCCAAAATCTGACAAAACAAGAGGAGACGTACAGGTCATTAATTAACAAGTCATTAACGCTACATATGACAGGAACTACACAGAAATGCACCAACTATGCACTCAGACTCCAGGTGGACTAGGATGTATAACAAGAACTACTTGTCTGCACTGTCCTCAGCTGCCCATGTTCACATCCACAGTGTATAAGCGAATACAAGTGATTTCGACCAGTTAAAAGCAATCAGCATGAATAACTGAATCAAGAAATTCAGACTAAACACAAGTATTCCTAATAGCTGATATATGATCTAAGATTTTGGAATCTATACCACCTTTCATTGTAAATGTACAAATAACTGAGCTACAGCTTACAACACATAATTACCAAAAGATACGTTATTTCAAGTTTTATGAGCCTAAAGGGTAGGCAAACAGTTACTAAGTTTAAATGTACATTTTGTTTATGGACAGTATGTATGTATAGTATATAGAAAACATTAATATTGTCTACCTGCACAACACCAATACACACTCCAAACACCAGGACAGAGGTGATGTTTTTTATCAGCCACTTTCTTGCTTTCTGGTAGCATGGCTGCAAACGACATGGGGAAACAGTTGAGGCAGAGTAGTTATAGATAGAAAGAAAAGCGAAGAAGAATGCCAGGGCTATATTCCAGTATGCAGGTTTAGCTAGCAGCTCTGAGTTCCTAAACCCTGAGATGTGTGAAACTCCTGTTTATTGCTCCAGAGAGTTAACGTCAACTCTGAGTCAGTTATCAGGGTAAAAGACACTATGTTAGATGCAAATTTGTCCACAGATTAGAATTCGGTCATTAAATATCAAACAACATGTTGGAAAGAATGGTGGCTGAATTCAGAAACATATTGTCCACTTAAAAATCACCTAAATAGTCTCAGTTATTTGACCAGATCAACCAGAAGATATCACAGGCTCTGTTATGGATCAGAACCTATGCTGCCATTTGAACCGCAAGTCAAATCCAAACCGTGATCCGTTTTTAATTAAGGCAAGATCAGGCACAAATTCTGTTCAGCTCCAGGTAGACCCTGGCTATTGTAAGGTAGACCCTACAATGATACATACAGAGGAAAAACCCAGCAATCAATTTGGCGACAGTGGGAAGGAAAAACTCCATTATAACAGGAAGAAACCTCCAACAGAACCAGGCTCATGCTCTGTGTTGGTACAGGCCATTGAAGATGATAACGGTGGGTGGATTATATTCTTAAATGTAAACAGTTTCTATGCCGTATGTTAAAACAAGATCTAGAGTGTCATTAAAGTGGTGGGTGGGTTCTTTTACATTTTTAGAGAAGCCAGTTGAGTTTTCAATTACTTGAAAACTTTGAAGAACCTGCTATTCTTCCTGCAGAGGTCCAATGGATCTTCCAGCAATTGTGATGCTTTTTTCTGGAGAATTGCTTAGGGTGATTTCATATCTTTTGATCTTGAATCTGGAACCTAAGCTGGAGCAGAGCTGGTTAGATCTACCGCATTATAGTGATCTACCCTGGTAAGAAGTGAACCAACTTTGTAGTTGACCACAGAAAACCATGGGCCAACCCTAAAGTTACCCAGATAAGCCAAAATCTTGCTTCATAGCCTCAGGTTTAGTTCACAGAGTCTGTTACCCTGGTAACTGACTCAGAGTTGAAGTCTACACAATTCCTGAAACATAAATCTTGTAGTTACCAAACTAAGATTTGTTAGCAAATTCTGCTCTGAAAAATGCAAAGACTTTAGTATGCAGTTGCCCAAGCAGTATGTGTGACACATACATTCATTGATCTGTAGGAAAATTCTGTTTCATTTGAGAGGTTTATCCCCCCAAAAAATAAAAATTAAAAAGCAACAAACCTCAGTCCATCCTTCAACACACGTCTGTGTCCCAACTGAGCAACATGATAAGGGTAGCTTTCCCTGCAGCACGTTATACCAGTCTGTTTTGTTGGTTACGCCACAGCACTTGAACTGGAAGAGCAGATGACAGGATGCAAAGAGGACAGTAATACCAAATATTTAATCTATGTTTAACATTTGCACGTGTAAACTCATGTAGATCCTTTTGACTTGACAGTTTTCTCTTGGGTTATTAGGGTGCCTATACTCTTGTCATGTACTCTCATCACTTATTTTGAATCTGTGTTTTTTTAATGTTCATAATTTGTGGCTGTAAAGTTCATTAAACTGACAAACGTCCACCACAAGGTGGCACCATCACCAAGAACAGTAGTTACTTCTAGATTTTGCCAACTGCATCTTGGTCTATGGTTTTGTCAGGTTTATTTTGAATTGGGGTTGCGTTTGGACTGCACCAAGCTGGAGATGTATCGCAGACTGTGGTGCGAAATTGCTTCATGCAGTCCTTGGCAAATATGACTGTAATGTGTTGAGACTTTATTGTGTCAATACTTTAAAATTTTTAAGGCAATATTTAACAAGACTGTGCATGTGTTTGTAGCTGTTGTTGGTGATCAGTACCTTCCGCACGGACTAGAAACCTCCATGAACTTATATGTGTAGCAAGATGCAGAGTCTGCAATCTCCAGTGTGTCCAGACATGAAGCTAGTGAAACTGTAGTGTAAGTGCCTACGGTCATTTTGCAATCATTTGGTGGTTTTGGCTTGGTATTAATTTGTTCCTTCGTTTGTTTTTGTCTGTAGACAGAGCCACTGTTGTATTTTCAGTGCATATTTTTTTATTGGATGTTTTGTGATTTTTCCTTTTTGTTTATTATCTGTATGCCATTAAAATGCTGCAAGAACCCCTGTTATTGTGTCCCATGTGGCAACTAATTTCCCAGGCTACACAGTATATCCGTTATTCTGTTGAAAAGAGGATTATTGTATTTTCATGTGCTGTTCAGTAAAAATGCTCACCATTTTCTGGACATTGTCCCAGGAATTCTTAAGGCCAGGATCTGATTCATACATCTTCATATCTTCCTTTAAATCTTTTTGTGCTTTTGAATCCAGCTGACAAAAAGACAGTGAACGAAACAAGGATATACAATTAATCATAAAAAAATCAATTGTATATATATAATATATAATATAGACAGACTGGCGCGTCCATCCATCCATCCATCCATCCATCCATCCATCCAGATAGATAGATAGATAGATAGATAGATAGATAGATAGATAGATAGATAGATAGATAGATAGATAGATAGATAGATATGGAGCCCATTCCAGCAGGGCTAAGTATCTCACAAAAGTGTGTACACCCCTTACTTTGATATAATGTAAAGTAGTCAGTTTACAGATTTTATAACAGTGTAAGTTTGCAGTCCCCTCTAAATAACTCAACACACAGCCATTATTGCCTACTTGGCGATGGCAACAAAAGTGAGTACACCCCGAGGTGAAAATGTCCAAATTGTGCCCAATTAGCCATTTTCTCTTCCTGGTGTCATGTGACTCATTAGCGTTACGAGGTCTCAGGTGCAAGCATGTCTTCAGACTTAAACCCTATTGAGCAACTGTGGCGCATCCTCAAATAGAAGGTGGAGGAGTGCAAAGTCTCTAACATCCACCAGCTCCATGATTTCATCATGGAGGAGTGGAAGAAGTTTCCAGTGGCACCTTGTGAAGCTCTAGTGAACTCCATGGCCAACAGGGTTAAGGCAGTGTTGGAAAATAATGGTGGCCACACAAAATATTGACACTTTGGGCACAGTTTGGACATTTTCAATTAGGGGTGTACTCGCTTTTGTTGCTAGTGATTTAGACATCAGTGGTTGCATGTTGAGTTTTTTTGAGGTGACAACAAATTTACACTGAGCGAGGAGGCTCTAAAAGACTGTTTTGACTCTACTGTGTGGGAGATGCTTTGTGACGACCACGGGAAGGACAGTGACAGACTTGTGACCTTCGTTACAGCCTACATTAACTTATCTAGGACCTCGTGTTGCTTCTCCAACAACAAACCATGGATTACCCAAGAAATAAAAGCTGTCCTCAAGCAGAAGAGGAGGGCTTTCAAATTTGGAGACAGGGAGGAGCTGAAAGGGGTGCAGAGAGAGCTGAAAGGACTGATCAGTTCAGCTTCAGCAGAATGATGTTAAAGAAGTCTGGAGATGCCTTGGAATCATCTTGGGGCACAAAGATTAACACCTTCTGCCCATGGGGGATGCGAGGTGGGCAAATGAACTGAATTATTTCTTTAACAGGTTTGATTACCAACTGTATCCTCATACACACAATAACATGGACTGAACCACCAATTACAACCACTAGCACTTTATATAACTACTGTAGAAATTATCCACATATCTCACTGATCTAAACTACACTACTGTAAATGTTGTATAGACAATCATTCTGTACAATACAATAATTATAGTTTTACAACTGTTTACAACTGTTTATTAATACTCACAATTGTATATCTACAATCTGTATAATTTCATATTTCTGTATAGTTTTCATATTTTTAACCATATTTATATCCTGTTCATAACCTGTTCATAGCTTGTACACTCACTACAGCCTGTGCATACTTATAGTTATAGCATATTCATAACATACCTTCATACCATGTACATTGTAACATACCTTTAATAGATCCATATTTTGTAATATATCTATATTATTTCCAAAGCACTTTCTGGATGGATGCAAACTGCATTTCGTTGCCTTGTACTTGTGACATGAGTTGAATTCTATTCTATTCATCCAGGATGCAGTCTTCAACATCGGCTGCAGACTCACCCACCCCCCACTGATGCTGTTCCACCTTTGACACCCCAGACACTTCACACCTCCCCCACACACCGTGGTCACTACTCCCCACCCCCAACCACAGCATCCAGTACACATCCAGCACACATCTCCAGCATGTCTCTCACTCAACCACCCGGGTTAGAAGGCAAATGAGGAGGATTAAAGCCAGGAAGGAAGTGGGTCCAGATGGCATCAGGTTGTCAGGTCCTGCGCAGATCAACTGTCTGAGGTGATGGAGCGCATCTTCAACCTGAGCCTGAGGCTGGGGAGAGTTCCACAGCTCTGGAAAACCAATTGTGTGGTACCAGTGCCAAAGACTCCACGTCCAAAGGACCTCAACAGCTAAAGGCCGGTGGCTCTGACATCCCACCTGATGAAGACCCTGGAGCGGCTGGTCCTGGCTCAGCTTCAGCCCCTGGTGAACTCATCACTGGACTCACTTAAGTTTGCCTACCAGCAAGAGCTGGAGTGGATGATGCCATCATTCACCTCCTACATTGTTCCCTCTCTCACCTGGAGACCGCTGGGAGCACTGTGAGAATCATGTTCTTTGATTTCTCCAGTGCCTTTAACACCATTATTCCCACAGTCCTGAAGGACAAGCTGGAGAACTCAGGAGTGGACCATCACCTCACAACATAGATACTGGACTACCTCACCAACGGACCACACGGACCAGAACTCAGGACTGTGTGTCGGACAGGGTCTTCTGCAGAGCAGGGGCCCCACAGGGAACGGTTATGGCTCCATTCCTCTTCACCATCTACACTTCTCCCACAACTTCACCCAGTGCTTCCTGCAGAAGTTCTCTAAGGACTCTGCAATAGTTGGCCTCATCACTGATGGGGACGACAGGGAGTACAGAGAACTGACCCAAGGCTTTGTGGACTGGTGCCAGCAGATCAACACTAGAAAAACGAAGGAGCTGGTGGTAGACTTCTGCAGGCACAAACATTCTCCACTGCAACCACTGAACATCCAAGGTATGGACATTGAGGCTGTGGACAGCTACGGGTACCTTAGTTTTCATCTGAACAATAAACTGGACTGGATTCACAATTCAGATGCTCTCTACAGGAAAGGGAAGAGCAGGCTGTACCTGCTGAGGAGGCTCAGGTCTTTTGGAGTGAAGGGCCCACTCCTGAAGACCTTCTGTGACTCTGTGGTGGCCTCAGACATTTTTTTACGATGTGGTCTGCTGGGGCACCAGCATCTCTGCTGGGGATAGGAAGCGACTGAACAGGCTGATCCGGAGGGCCAGCTGTGGTCTAGGATGATCCCTGGACCCAGTGGAGGTGGTGAGTGACAGGAGAATGGCGGCTAAGCTGTCATCCCTGTTGGACAACATCTTCCACCCCATGCAGGAGACTCTAACAGCACTGATCAGCTCCTTCAGTGGCAGAGATTCCTTTCAGCGGCTGTCAGACTGTCAGAAGTATTTTATTGTATATATATGTATGTATATATATATATATATATATATATATATATATATATATATATATATACAATAAAATACTTCTGACATATATATATATATATATATATATATATATATATATATAAGAACAAGCTCTGAGTACAAGATCCATAGAGGCTGGGGTCTATCACACCAGGCAAGACCCAGGTGCAGATGCCCCAGAGACTATCCAGCACATAACAGCAGGGTGCAAGATGCTAGCAGGCAAGGCATACATGGAACGCCATAACCAAGTGGCCGGCATAGTGTACAGGAACATCTGTGCCGAGTATAACCTAGAAGTCCCGAGGTCAAAATGGGAGATGCCCCCAAGGGTGGTGGAGAATGACCGAGCTAAGATCCTGTGGGACTTCCAGATACAGACGGACAAAATGGTGGTGGCTAACCAACCGGACATAGTGGTGGTAGACAAACAGAAGAAGACGGCCGTAGTGATCGATGTAGCGGTTCCCAATGACAGCAATATCAGGAAGAAGGAACACGAGAAGCTGGAGAAATACCAAGGGCTCAGAGAAGAGCTCGAGAGGATGTGGAGGGTGAAGGTAACGGTGGTCCCCGTGGTAATCGGAGCACTAGGTGCGGTGACTCCCAAGCTAGGCGAGTGGCTCCAGCAGATCCCGGGAAAAACATCGGAGATCTCTGTCCAGAAGAGCGCAGTCCTGGGAACAGCTAAGATACTGCGCAGGACCCTCAAGCTCCCAGGCCTCTGGTAGAGGACCCGAGCTTGAAGGATAAACCGCCCGCAGGGGCGTGCTGGGTGTTTTTATATATATATATATATATATATATATATATATTATATATATATATATATATATATATATATACCGGTATATATATTATGCTTTATGATGTTTTGAATATATTATTTTCTAAGATATTTAACTTTTAGAGAAATATCCCTTTTTTAAAAGATTTTTTTTTTAAACTAAAATATGCTGGTTTGATTCTTAGAAGTGCTAATTCCCAATTGTTCATTTTTCTTCTTTTTTTTCTTCCTAATTTAGCCTTTTCTAATGAGTCTTCTCAAATTTAACTATGGGATCGTTACATATTTTCACATTCCTTACTGTGTACATTGCACTGCAGCAACTCTGCTTCTTTTTCTTCTTTCAACTGCTCCTTTTAGTGGTCTCCAAAACAGAACATTTGCCCCCATCTCACCCTGTCTCTATGATCCTCATCTGTCCAACTAAACCTGTTCATGGCCTTGCACAACTGACACTTTTTTTTTTTTTATTGTTCTGGAGCACCTCAAAATGAAAATAAAGAAAAATTAATGAAAATTTGAACCTTGTAGAGAGTGAGCTTACCTGGTCATGAAAAATGTGGATAACTAAAACGAGAGTCACTTCTGTCAGGACCAGGAGTAACAGGATCAAAAAGAACTGCAGAGACAATAAGAGCAGTTGGAGGGTGAAGCGATTCATTCAAGGGTGGCTTACCCCACTAATATGTTTTCACACTAAGATTAGAATTTCTCAACATAAGGTACCTTTATTACATGTGGATGAAGTCTTACCGTAAACAATAGACAACGCTGCTCCTTAAGCGCTCCAAGACAACCCAGAAAGCCTGTTATCATAGTAATACCACCAGCAACTAGCAGCAGATTGGCAGCTGAGAGAGACGGAAATGAAAGTGGAAGAGAGGAAAACTCTGACTGCGTGAAGGACAGCCAGACTCCAACTCCAAACAGGCCACATCCTCCTAGCTTCTCAGAAAATGTAATGTTAACACAGCCAAAATTTAGTACAGAGTGGAACACAGTGTGAGTGAATGAATGCAGCATACAACACTAAATTGGTAGAGACCACAAAGAAATCTTAAATTAAACACAAAGCCAACTTAGAAATCAAATAAAAATTCTGCAAATACTAACCCAGAAGATGAGATTAAAGACAAACATCAAATACTTGACAACACATAAACAGCCCTGTGACACTGGCATCCTGGAAAAGAGAGAGGGAAATAGGACAAAGAGAGATCTTTTAACAATATTTGTCCGATCAATTTTAGTTATTTGTTTTTTTTAGCCTTTGTGAAATATCCAGTACATTGTTTTGTTCTGAAAAACACAGTTAAATATAAATTAATAATCTTTCATGGTTTGTTGTGCTGTGCTTTGGGTGTCTTATAAAATGTTGAGGGATCTGTGTCAAAAGAGTAAGTTAAGTTTGGCACACTTTCTATGTCTAACCAACAGTGCTGAAGCCATTCAGAATACTATCCTTAAAAAGCAAAATATTTTGTGAAAGCCTGTTCCACCTCTGCTAACTTTCTATCATAGAGTTCTGCTCAGACCACTTGCACTCATCCGTCTCCCAAAAAGAAACAAAAATCTAATGCATTATTGGGGGAAAAAGCTGAAGTAAAAAGAGTTGAAGAGTGAAAGATTGTGAATGTGTATTTAAAAATCTGTTTCTTTTTCACTACACTGTCAACATACCCAGGTAGAAAAATTTGCTTAATAAATTATGAGCCCTACTCCGGCCCACCAAAAAGTACTCGAAGATCCCATCACAACATCTAAAGAACCTGCCTCATTTAAGATCAGTGTTTAGGACTCGGTTAACAGCTGGGCAAAATGTGGCCTCCACGAGAGAGTTCCTATGGCAAAAACTACTGATGGTAAAGGACCAAAAAAGGCTTGTCTCACATTTGCCAAAAAATCTCTCTCTCTATATAAAATATCTTTAAATATCTGTCTTTTTAATGACTCACTTCAATTTTATTTTTCCAAATCACAACAGTTGCTTGAAGGGTCTTTGTATTGTAAGCCAAGGCCTCTACAGTAATACAGAGAACAGAGAGTATCAGATGGCCCCCTATGAGCAAGTACTTTGGCAATAGTGGGAACAGGTGAGGGGAGGAAGACAGGACAAAGGACACTCTGCAGAAGAGACACGGAGATTAATAACTTTCCATCCATCCTCTTATCTAAGGATTATAATTTTGCTATATGGTTTTGATCATTTTGTCTACTTATCCATTCAGACAAGGCACAGGGGTGGTAGTGGGAACCTGTAACAACTGTCCGTCGATGTAACAGTTATCCATGACAAGAGAGGCGTGTTTGCCCTTCTGTCTGTGTCGTTTTAGAATGGGCAAAATTGCTTTACGTCCGTTGTTGATTTCCCTAGGAAACTAGCCGTTCATACCATAAGACATTCCTTTTAATTCACACCGTTTGCTTTTAACAAGTTCTTTAAACTGGAAATGTTCAAACTTAGCAATGATAAGATCAGGCTCTGAGACGAGACTGCATGAAGTTTCTAATCCACGTTTCGGCCGGGATTCCAGAGAAAATCAATGTCTCGCATACGTCTTGTTTACATGTCGTGAATGTGTTTTAGGGATTTATTGTCTGCGTTTAGAGTTAATAGCTTTTGTTTGTGGACTCGCGTATCTGAATGTTGGTTGTGAGTAGGTCCTCTGTATCTGTTATATTTATGTTGGTCCGGGGGATTTCTCCGTGACATGCTGCTCAAAATATCCGTGGAGGAACCTTCGAGTTCCTCCATTCTGCGTGGTGATATCGTTAGTGGTTGTATGTTTGATTTAAATTTGCTGACAGATGTTTGTTTAAATTAAAGTCATAATTTCACTAGTTTAGAGTATAATCTGGCAGCCGGCGCAGCAGTTTTGTAAATCTCAAACCTCGCAATTTCACAGCATCATGCGCTCTTTATCTTATCTTATTTGCTCCCCTCCCCTAACTTCTACTTATGCCATAATGGCTCACCATAGCAGGTAGTTTTGATTTGGCAGGGTTTACCACTGGATGCTTTTTCTGACGGAACCTCAGAGGGGACTTGCGTTTCTGGCTGGTATCGAGCATACCAGAGCATTGGAACACTTTTTAACAATACTTGAAAGGTTCTTGAATTTGACTTGCTTGAACCAACTTTAGTGGGAAAGTCTTCATTTATAAACACTTAGATTGTGCCATGGACTACTGACTCCACACAGGAAGTTTCCGACAGGAAGGAAGTTCCCTCCCCTACTCACTAGACCCAGTTACAATACTCAAGTTATTTTACATGCCTTTGTGAGTCACAGAGCCCAAGGCCCAGATTTGGTTTTTATTTTATAACAACACAAAATTCCGAGGAAACCATGTTTCAGTGATTAGTGTGGGGAATGAGCTGGAAAACAGACTAACCCAAAGTTATCTGAAAAAAATATCCAGGATGCCTCAAATGTAGCTATGGTACTTAGGAATTCAAACTGTCAAAGAAATTTATATGAAGTAATATAAGATTTTTTGTTAATAAGTAGCTAATATGACATAAGCAATGACTCAAGACTATTTCTTTGTCCCTTGAGTGTTGCATGTTTACTTGTGTGTGCAAACTGAAAATTAGTAGGTCTTCTTTTATTGCTGATTTATTGTGATTTCTGATTTTAATTAATTTGTCACCACTGATCCACACCCACTGCATTATCATTATTAATAATGATATATTAAATCTTGCAACACAAATTTGCAAAATATGGGGCAAATATTTATAACAGTATCTTACATTCCTGACTGCATTTCTTACCTTTGTTTTAGCACCTGATTTTCCCGGGTCACAACAGTCTGATCAACGGATCATTAATTTGTGTGTAGGAGATTTGGGGAAATCTGCACATAATTTATTTTTGCAAGTTCACAGAACAGACATAAAAACGTGTGATGGAAGATGAAGCCCTCAAACTTAATCATAAGATTTAAATAAAAAATACAGAGAAATTATTATCTCAGATAATGAGATTTTCATTCAGTACAATTTGTTTAGTCTGCCAAAACTTATGCATATTAATAAAAGTAATACCTTCATATAAGGCACTTGACACATTATGTAATTTTTCTTGTCAGGCTAGTCCCACCCTGGCCTATTTTCAGCAAAAATGTTGCAAAGAAGTATATCCATCTGATAGAAAAAGTGGTTTCTACCAATTTTCTATTGGTAGAACACAGAAACATATCCCGTCTCTCTGTTTTGTTTTTTTTTTAGAGTTTAATCCGGAATAGCTTCATGAAAGCAAAATGTTTGGCACATTTATTTTAAACATATTTTAAACATTATCAAGATCCAAAAATACAGTTCAATTTTCTCATTTATCCTCGAGCTCTTCACTCCTATCCTCAACACAGCCATCTTTATCCCTTTATGTCTTTAAATAAGTGAAAATCTTGAAGGTAAGAGGGGGAAGCAAACACCAAAATAGAGTTTTAAAATATAGGGAGGGACATACTGTATCTAACTAATACTTCTGATAGTGTAGCATTTCTGTACATACTTTACCTTAGCATGTGGTTCAAATCTTCAAAGTCTCTGGTCTTTGTGACGCTCCTGTTCCAGGCTCCTTCAGCTCCTGACTTGGATCTTTACTTGGTTTTCCTTTTCAGATGTCTTTCCTAGAGCAAACAGCCTTTTCAGTTTGTTTTCTGGATCTTCTCTTCTCTTCTCTAGACCATGTTAATGTTCATTTTTCATGCTCCTCTGTAGGACTTTAAAATTTTCATATTAAAGTTCTTTATACCGCTCTTTTGTTCCTTTTTTTCTAACAGACCTTCGTCTATGTCTGTCCTACTCTTTCACTTCCTCTCTGTTTCTCCCTTCCTCTCTCCCTGTTTCCAGATGGTTGTGGACTGCGCTCTGTGTCCCTCCCCCTTCACAGTTTATCACATTACTTACCCCTCCTCCAGGCCACAGCCTCTAAAGTCTAATGTGGCCTGCTTATTCTGTCTTTTTTTTTCTCAGTTTAAGAAATTTTTGGTCACTACACATTTAAGAACACTTAGGTACAAACACAAGCATACAAAATATCCTGAGCAAGTTGCTTTACTTCAGATAACTGCAGACATGTCTAAACATAAAGGATTTCTGACAAAAGATCCATTTTCTTTGTTTTTCGCATGTCACTCCTGAGTATTTCGGTTCCTCTGTTGCTCTTCAGGTGATATTACATATTTCTTGTTATTGTCAAGCTATGAACAGTAAATAATGTACTTGCATTTATATAGTGCTTTTCTCATCTTACTGTCTCAAACAACCCGTTCTCACTCCCAAAGCGTAACATTTTACGCTAGGTGACAAATTAGTGCGCATGCGCCAACCAGCGTGCAGCCTGTTACAGTCGCTCCTGCTTTTCTCTTAGTTTAGCTCTTTTTTCTTACGTATTCTTTTTTTTTTCTGACTTGTATTTTCCTCCGTTGTCTATCTCTTACTCAATCATGTGGATTGAGAGAGTTTTTGTTCTTCTGGTGGCCGTGGAACTGTTACTTTTATCATGGAACGGGACCGCGGCACATCTCCTACACGCACGGACTGTTTACTCCAGAGATCAGCTGATCGCCCTGATGCCGGCCGGCTCGCTGGCCAGGCCCGCAGAAGTGCCCGCAGAAGTACCAGCTGAAATTTGGAGGAAAACACATCGGGGATGCAGAGGTCAAGGACAGAAGAGAAGAAAAAAGGTGACGGTGAGACAGCGGAGGCTCGAAGCGAGGAGGAGGTTTAAACCGTGTCTGCCGTCTATCGTGATGGGAAATGTGCGATCGTTGGCAAGTAAAATCGACGAGCTCTCAGCACTGGTACGGAGTCAGAGGGAATACCGAGAGTGTAGCCTGATGTGTTTCACCGAATCATGGCTGCACCAGGTCATTCCCGATGAGAATGCTTCCGTGGAAGGCTTCCACACTGTTCGGGCGGACAGGGACAGCATCGCTAGCGGTAAGCGTAAAGGAGGTGGGCTTGCTGTTTTAGTTAACAACCGGTGGTGTAACCCTGCCAACATAACAATCAAAGAAAGGATTTGTTGCCCGGACACTGAACTGTGTGCTGTTGGACTCAGGCCGTATTATTTACCCAGGGAATTCTCTCACGTCATCTTGGTGGCTGTTTATGTTCCCCCCTCTGCTAACCCCACAGCTGCATGTGACACTATCCACTCTGCCATAGCTCGGCTACAGACTCAGCACCCGAGTGCCTTTATTGTGATCTCGGGTGACTTCAACCATGTATCACTGGACAATACAAATAATTTCCCCCAGGGATCAATAAAGTATTCTGATTCTGATTCTGAAAAAATCGTCACCATATTACGTTTTCGGCTACCCACCACTTCCTAAATGACGACCTCGGAAAAAGAGGAAATATGAGAACCGTCTGGACTGAACCTACACATGTTCGCTCTTTTTCTTCAAATCGCTTAGAAACACGCTATTTAACATCATTAAAGTCCTGGTTACGGTCTGGAATAAGGTTATGGTTAGGGCTAGGGATAAGGTTAGGTTTAGGGCTGGAATACAGGGCTGGAACGTCTATTACCGCGGGAGCGTCATTGCACTGGATTCCAGCCATAACCCACCGCGTACCATAAGAACGCTGAAGGTCTCCTTTCGCGTTCCTCAGGAACGCCGCGGGACGTGACAAAACGTCGACATGTTACGCCTCGGGAGTGAGAACGCTCTGTCTCAAAACATACAAATCACATGTTTACCATACATTTATACAACAGTTTGTTCTATAGTCTAGCACAGAATAATAAATAAAAAAATAAATATATATGTTTTGGAATGTGGGAAAAAGCTGGAGTACCCAGAGGAAATGGACACTAGAATCCATCCAGTCCCCAGTCAAGTTATGAATCAGGACCTTCTTGCTGTGAGGTCGGGGCAATGCTAAAATCCTGAGTCTGCAGACTCAGCAAAATGAATGACATATTTACTGCAGAGATAGACATATACACAAGACCAACTAATCATCACATGATTCAGTAAAAGCACTAGCTGTTAGAATCCCTGACAATGCATTGCTTTAAATGGAGAAAATCTTGGGGGATGGCTGTTATGAGGAAAAGCAGCCCAGAAACTACCAGCGGCACACAACGTTGTGTGCCTTAACTTTTGTTCTTTTACTCAAGCTAATCTGTCATTTTTCCTTGGTTAGGTTTAGGGATTAAAGATCTAATCTAAATTATAATATTAAAATTTGGGACATATCATCAGTAGTGGACCTTGGATTCATCGGATGTTTCGGCCATTATCACTAGACACCCTAATCCTAGGAGGCCCTCCCAGGGTTGATCAGAAGTGTGTCACTGGTTTATGTTAAAATTGTCATTTCTCTTCTCCTTTCTGCTGTTTAGTTTTCTACAGTTTATTCTATCTATTCACTGCACCTGAGAAATGCTTACCTCTTTAACATTTATGGAGCCTCATTTTTTTAAAGGGACAGAAAAGGTGATAGAGAGAAGTAAGACAAGTAAGTAAGATATGCTTCCAACACCTCGCCAGATTGGGCTGTACGCTCTACCTCCCCACTGCCTCCCAGAAGAGGGAAGAAGAGCAGCGGGAAGAAGAGCAGTGGGAAGAAGAGCAGCGGGGAGAAGAGCGGAATACTTTTCTATTATTATTATTATTTCATTCCTCCTTTTAGTTTCACTACCATGAGATTAACTGCACAGTCTCCAGGAGGCTCTGAGACAGCTCTAGAGGCTTCAACAGTACACCAGGGCCGCACTGGCTTGCTGAGGATATCTTGACCACAACAAGAGCCTGTGTTGCAGCAGCTGTGCTGTTGGATAAGGCCATCTCCATCACACCAGGACCTGTGCTGCTGGCTGAGGCCATCTACATTACACTAGGGCCTGTGGTGCTGGCTTAGGCCATCTAAGATAAGATAAGATAAGACTTTATTGATCCCACAACAGGGAAATTTTTGCGTCACCTCAGCTCAGGTACAGATATCAGAAGGAAATACAAAAATACAAATAAGTACAATCAATGAAAAAAGTAAGATAATACATTATATACAATGGTAGCATACACAGTATGTGATTATGGATATGGTTGGAAATATGGAAGACATAAACTATATAGCTTAGCATAACTATTGTACCACTACTATTCCTGTTTATAGACATGTACACACACACATGTACACACTAAATATACATACGTATACATATACATACATATATACCTGCACATGTCCATACACATGGAAGGTCCATTATGCATGAAGTGGTGACCGTGGATGTTCACAGTGTCCAGTGACTTATGACATCGTGATTGAGGAGTTATAGAGTCTAACTGCTGTTGGGATGAATGATCTGCGAAAGCGCTCCTTCCTGCAGCGAGGGTGTTTCAGTCTCTGACTAAAGGAGCTGCTCAGCCCACTCACATACTCATGCAGTGGGTGATGTGGGTTGTTCATGATGGATATCAGCTTTACTAACATCCTCCCCTCACCAACCACCTCCACAGACTCCAGGGGACATCCCAGCACGGAGCTAGACCTCCGCACCAGTTTGTCAATCCTGCTCCTGTCCCTGTCCATGCATCCACTCCCCCAGCAGGCCACTGCATAGAAAAGAGCAGATGCTACCACAGTGTCATAGAATAACAGAGTCCTGCAGACTCCGAAGGACCTCAGTCTCCTCAGCAGGTGGAGTCAACTCTGGCCCTTCTTATACAGGACGTCTGTATTTGTAGTCCAGTCCAGTTTATTGTTGAGGTGAACACCCAGGTACTTATAAGAGTCCACTATCCCAATGTCTTTCCCTTGGATGGTGTTGTAGGGGGTGACTTCCTCCTGAAGTCTATGATCATCTCCTTTGTCTTGCCGGCGTTGATTTGGAGTACGTTGGTTTCACACCAGCCAACAAAGTCACTGATGACCCCCCTGTATTCCTGATCATTCCTGTCTGATACGCATCCAATGATGGCTGTATCATCTGAGAACTTCTGTATATGGCAATCGTCCGAATTATAACAGAAGTCTGAAGTGTAAAGGCTGAACAGAAAAGGTGAGAGAACTGTGCCCTGTGGTGCCCCCGTGCTGCAGATTACCACCTCGGACACACAGTCATGGAGCCTCACATACTGTGGTCTGTTGGTAAGGTAGTCGATGGTCCATGCAGTCAGCTGTTTGCCTACTCCGGCTCCCTCCAGCTTCCCTCTCAGTAGAGCAGGTTGGATGGTGTTGAAAGCACTGGAGAAGTCAAAAAACATGATCCTCACAGTGCTCCCCGCCTGCTCTAAGTGAGAGAGGGATCGGTGTACCAGGTAGATTCAATTCAATTCAATTCAATTTTACTTATATAGCGCCAAATCACAACAAAAGTCGCCTCAAGGTGCTTCATAGATACAGAGAAAAACCCAACAATCATATGACCCCTTATGAGCAAGCACTTTGGCAACAGTGGGAAGGAAAAACTCAGTTTTAACAGGAAGAAACCTCTGGCAGAACCAGGCTCAGGG